AGTATTCCCGAATGTGAGCTACATTACAAAGGGTGATGATGACATCTTCTTGCGTGTGCCGCAGTTTTTATCTGATTTACGTTTATTACCACGAAAAGGAATATATTGGGGTATTTCAATGGGTGTTCCTGTTCGTCGAGGGAATAAAAATGTGAGTTTTCGCTTCGCTGCTGGAATGTGTTACACCCTGTCCAGGGATGTTGCTAAACACTTTGTCTCTTACGAGCCATTGAAGCGTTTAGTACATCTCCCATACAAGAAGGAGCGTGAAGAGGAATTCCTATCACTTGGTATGGATCATGAAGATGTCATGGTGGGCCGTGTGCTGCAAGTTGAATCTCCATACACTCCTTTGGTATTTGTTTCTGATTTGACTTGTCGGTTTGAACATATTCTTAACGGTAGTATCCAATTCAAGATAAACCCAAAGTCTGTTGTCATTCATAATTTGCAAGAAGACGACTATGTAATTCTAATGGATAGGTTCGGGAATGGTACAACGTACAGGCCTAGATTGCGATTTTGTCCAAAGCCGAATCAAATCAAATTTCTTTGTTAAGAGTGCTAACATACTTTTTCGTTTGTAATTATTTTGATATATTTGCATTTTCTACCTAATTGTAAGCTGTTGTTGTTGTTGTTGCTTTTTTTGCTTTGTGTGTGTGTGTTTATGGGTCACTGCGTCCCTTGTATACATCCATCTCTTTGCTGTGTTATCACTGCAACCCTGGAGTGTCTACCATCATACCTGCAACGGTACTGCACAGCAACTCACTCTCTGAGCACTGTGCAGTCATTACATGTGCCTCTACTGTGTGCACACCCCTTCTACAGAACCTCATCCCTCTCTCTTCACCCCTCACCCGTAGTGACACAGAGTGAACATGGCGCGCAAGGCACCACGGAGAACCGTCATTTACGGTACACTCCTGTTGTTTTTGTTGGTGGTAGTGTTCATTGGTCATTATTACCTGGACACTGATATGGTAGTCCAATCGAGTGAGTCCCACTCCAATACACTATTCTCCAAAAACACCAGCAGCATGAGTACTGATAGTCCAGACACCACAATGATGAAGGAGTCTCTGCGCTACATCCCACACAGTACACTGCAGACATGGAAGGAGCGTGACTACCTCATTGTGTTTGGCATCCCATCTGTGGATATTGATTCAAGGCGGAGACGCCGTTATCTGCAGCGGACTACGTGCTGGCAGTTCCCCGGTGTTGCACGGAGGGCGAATGACTTCACTGGGGCCATGTTGGTGTTGTATGTACTTGCACGGCACCCATCCCACGGCTACAACTATTCTGCTGCACTAGAGAAGGAGGCTGATGAGTATCATGATATCATTACACTGCCGATGAATGAGGGACGTCCGAACAGAAAAAATCTGGAGCATAGCAGCTTTGGTTGGGGTAACGAGGTTCAGATTGGTATGAGCCGCAAAACATTCCTGTGGTTTGATCTAGCACTACAAGTATTCCCGAATGTGAGCTACATTACAAAGGGTGATGATGACATCTTCTTGCGTGTGCCGCAGTTTTTATCTGATTTACGTTTATTACCACGAAAAGGAATATATTGGGGAATGCAATTTAGTGTTTTGCGTCATCGAGAAAATAAAAACGTGAGTTTTCATTTTGTTGGGGGAATGTGTTACACCCTTTCTAGGGATGTTGCTGAACATTTTGTCTCTTACGAGCCGTTGAAGCGTTTAGTACATCTCCCATACAAGAAGGAGCGTGAAGAGGAATTTCTATCACTTGGTATGGATCATGAAGATGTCATGGTGGGCCGTGTGCTGCAAGTTGAATCTCCATACACTCCTTTGGTATTTGTGGCCGATGATATTTGTCGGTTTGAACATATTGAGAAGGGTAGTATCCAATTCAAGGTAAACCCAATGTCTGTTGTCATTCATAATTTGCAAGAAGACGAGTATGCAATTCTAATGGATAGGTTTGGGAATGGTACAACGTATAGTCCCATAATGCAATTTTGGACAATGGGGGGGGGGTAAATTAGTTTTCATTGTTAAGTGTCCTAACAATCTTTTTGTTTCGTGAATATTCTGATATCTTTGTTTTTATACGTAATTGTAAGCTGTTACTGTTGTTTCTCTCCCGTGTTTGTGCATGTGTATGGGTCACTGCACCCCTTGTATACATCCTCATCCCTCTCTCTTCACCTCTCACCTGTAGTGACATGGAGTGAACATGGCACGCAAGGCACCACGGAGAAGCGTCATTTACGGTACACTCCTGTTGTTTTTGTTAGTGGTGGTGTTCATTGGTCATTACTACCTGGACGCTGATATGGTATTCCAATCGAGTGAGTCCCACTCCAATACACCATTGGCCAAAAACACCAGCAGCAGGAATACTGATAGTCCAGACGCCACAATGATGAAGGAGTCTCTGCGCTACATCCCACACAGCACCATACAGACATGGAGGGAGAGGGACTACCTCATTGTGTTTGGCATCCCATCTGTGGATATTGATTCGAGGCGGAGACGCCGTGATCTGCAGCGGAATACGTGCTGGCAGTTCCCCGGTGTTGCACGGAGGGCGAATAACTTCACTGGTGCCATGTTGGTGTTGTATGTACTTGCACGGCACCCATCACAGGGATATGAATATTCTGCTGCACTACTGAAGGAGGCTGCTCTGTGGCATGATATCATTACACTGCCGATGAATGATGTCCTACCAAGTACAAATAAAACAGTGGCCGGAAAAGGTCATTGGGGTATTGCTGCTGAGATCACCATGAGCCGCAAAACATTCCTGTGGTTTGATCTGTCTATTCGCTTGTCGTTAAATACAAGTTATATTGCAAAGGGTGATGATGACATGTTCTTGCGCGTCCCACAGTTTTTATCGGATTTACGTTTACTGCCTCTCAAAGGAATATATTGGGGTGTCCCTATTCCTGCTCGAGTTACCAAAGGAAATACAGAGTTAAGATTTCGCTATGCTGCTGGTGCCTGTTACACCCTCTCAAGGGATGTTGCTGAACACTTTGTCTCTTACGAGCCATTGAAACGTTTAGTGCATCTCTCATACAGCAAAGAACGCGAAGAGGAATTTGTGTCACTCAATATGGATGCGGAGGATGTTATGGTGGCGCGTGTATTGTTTGTTGAGTCTCGTTACACTCCATTAATATATGTGAATGAGTTACCATGTCGATTCCAAAATATCTATAATGGCGCTGGAGAGTTCACAGTAAACCCAAAATCAGTTTTTATTCACCATTTACAAGAGGGTGAGTATGCTATGCTGATGGATAGGTTTGGGAATGGTACGACGTACAGACCTAGGGTACGAATCTTACCGAAGCGGAGGGTTATCAAATTCCTCTGTTAAGAATCCTAACATACTATTAGCTTCTGAATATTTTGGTATCTTTGCTTTTCCCACCATATTGTCACCTGTTACTATTGTTGCTCTGTTTTGTGTTCGTGTGTGTATGGGTCATTGTATCCCTTGTATACATCCTCATCCCTCTCTCTTCACCCCTCACTTGTAGTGACACGGAGTGAACATGGCACACAAGATACCACGGAGAAGCGTCATTTACGGTACACTCCTGTTGTTTTTGTTGGTGGTAGTGTTTGCTGCTGATTACTGCCTAGACTTTGATTCTGTGGCCAAATCGAGTGAGACCCACCCTAATATACCATTGGCCAAAAACACCAGCAGCAGGAATACTGATAGTCCAGACACCACAATGATGAAGGAGTCTCTGCGCTACATCCCACACAGTACCATGCAGACATGGAGGGAGCGTGACTACCTCATTGTGTTTGGCATCCCATCTGTGGATATTGATTCGAGGCGGAGACGCCGTGATCTGCAGCGGACTACGTGCTGGCAGTTCCCCGGTGTTGCACGGAGGGCGAATGACTTCACTGGTGCCATGTTGGTGTTGTATGTACTTGCACGGCACCCATCACAGGGCTACAATTATTCTGCTGCACTACTGGAGGAGGCTACTCTGTGGCATGATGTCATTACACTGCCGATGAATGAGGGACGTCCGAACAGAAAAAATCTGGAGTACAGCAGCTATAGTTGGGGTAACGAGGTTCAGATTGGTATGAGCCGCAAAACATTCCTCTGGTTTGAATTGGCACTGCGCTTGTTTCCGAGAATCATGTACATTACAAAGGGTGATGATGACATCTTCATGCGTGTGCCGCAGTTTTTATCGGATTTACGTTTATTACCACGAAAAGGAATATATTGGGGTGTCACCATTCCGCTTGAACTTCAACGAGGTAATACGAGTGTGAGATATCGTATTGCTGCTGGGTGGTGTTACACCCTCTCAAGGGATGTTGCTGAACACTTTGTCTCTTACGAGCCATTGAAGCGTTTAGTACATCTCCCATACAAGAAGAAGCGAGAAAGGGGATTTCTAGCACTCAGTATGGATCATGAAGATGTCATGGTGGGCCGTGTGCTGCAAGTTGAATCTCCATACACTCCTTTGATACTAGTAGCTGATGTGGGGTGTCGATTCCAAGATGTTTATAATAGTAGTGTAGCAGCCATTGTAGGCCCAAAGGCCGTTGTGATACATCATTTGCAAGAAGACGAGTATGCAGTTCTAATGGATAGGTTTGGGAATGGTACAACGTACAGACCCAAAATGCGGTTTTTGCCAAAGCCGAATCAAATCAAATTTCTCTGTTAAAAGTCTTAACTAATTTTTATCCTGTGAGTATTATGATATCTTTGGTATTTCTATGTAATTGTAACCGGTTGCTATTGTTGCTCTGCTGTGAGCGTGTGTATGGGTCACTGCATACCCTTGTATACATCCCTCTCTTTGCCCTTGTGAGGGATATGCTGAACTTTTTCAGTATTTACTTCATATATATTCTCACTTTTGAAAAGATTCTATGTGTTTTAATATGGTTCCTAATTATGTGACGTGATCTGTGTGTTTCTATCTTGTTTTTTTTTTATGTTTTTTTTTTTTTTTTCTTTGTGTGTGTGTTGTACTCCATGTGGGTAAGTTACACTATTCTTGTTGGGTTTTGTGAAAATTTTGCATGGTTATTCGTTTTTTTTTCTTTTGTTTGCCTCTTTGCATGTTGTGCCTTCTTTATCTAAAATATGGCATGATTTTTTTATTCTTTCTCTTTGTTTCTCTATTAATATATACGATATCTCGTTCTTTTCTGGGTGTTATGAAAACCATGTATACAAGGAACGCTTATACCCTTATATTTTCATTACCTTAGGCAATGACCAGTGTAAATCTTCTTGATGTGCTGATGGTATGTGTGCGTGGGGCCCTGGCGGCGCAGCGCTACATTGCACTGCAACTACTGCAGTTGGATCAACTCCAAACAGACACAAACCCACAAATTGCGGAAATGAGTATCGTGCAGTACGACGCAGGGACACGCCGTGCGCTGCTCGCCAAACTGCGGGATGCCGTGCAGGTGGAAGTGAAGGAACATCTACACAATAAGAAGGGCAACGCCGCGAAGGATCTCGTCACCACCGCTGATGTTGTGACGCAGGCAGTGCTCGAGTGTGTCCTCCGCACGGCCTTTCCCACAGTGCCGTTCACACTCGTCGGCGAAGAGGAGGGCTCCACGGCGGCTCAACACACACGCATGGGCGCCGCACAATGTATCGCCACACACTACAACACACATGAAGCTATTCCACAACAGGCGGAACTGGAAGCACATGTCCCACTGAGCTCACGGATAGTAACAGCCAAAACAAGTGAGGAACTGCGCCGCAGAGTGGGAGTGTTCATTGATCCCATTGATGGTACTAACTGTTTTGTTGAGGGATGCTGGGAAGTGCCCCTCACGCTGGTAGGCATCACACTAGATGGTGTACCTATTGCCGCCGTCGTTAACCGCGTCTTTCACTGTAATGCGGAGCAGTTAAGGGAAGGCTATAGTAGTAGCAGGAGTCTCTCCTATGTATGGAATAGAAGTACAGAAAAGCCTTTTATTGTACATGAGGGTAAACGTGTTTCGCCCCTTGTTTCCGCACCACGTCCGGTGACGACATGGAGTACACTGCGTGTGGTGTGTTCCAATACCACCCGTGATTCCGTTTTCACTCAATTATTATGCAAACTTCAACCTTTTGAAAAGCATGGGGCACGAGGGGCGGGAAATAAACTAATGCTAATTTTCTCTTCAATGATTAGTGGTTCATCTCAAAGGACGAGCTGTGATGTTTTCCTTTCACCAGCGAACTCCATTAAAACTTGGGATACATGTGCCCCCCATGCGTTCTTGCTGGCCCTGGGTGGCGAATTGTACACATTGCAAGGTGAAGTTATTCGTTATCAACTTATTGGCGACAGGAGGACTAAACTTCCTGCAGGTGTTGTGGGCGTGTCGTGCTGGTCAAAGACAGAGGTTCCCCGACGTATGCGGTGGTCACACTCCAATATGTAAAACATTTACTATGGTTGTACTTTATAATATTAACGGGTATTAGAGGAAAAGAAAAAAAATAGTTAACCATAATTTTTGCTCACTTTATCTGGGTGTGCGCTTGTTAAAGCAAGCAGTCGTTTTTTTTTTTTTCTGGTTATTGTCTATGTTCCCTTCTACTATCGTATATTTTTATTTTTTTTTGCTTTGGTTTCATGTTTATTTTCTCTTTATCCATGTATCTCTCTATCTAAATATATGAGTAGAGTATTTCTATATTCGTAGTATATATAGAAATGTCCATGGATCCACGAAACGGTCGTGATACCGTACGAATGCGTTTCTCGGGTGCAGCCAAAGGCGTGACAGAGTTGTATCGCGAAGCTCTACATGCATATGATAATGGTTACCGTGATGCCTTGCTTCATATGCATCACTTCGTTCTTCTTCTTCTTCCTTCTCCTAGTACAACGACAACGGCGGGAGTGTCAACCGCGTTAACAGGGGTTCCCTCTTCTAATGGCCAACAGCAGGTAAAGGCGGTACTTACCCCAACATCGCCACAGACGGTAGATGCAGAACGTTTGATGCAATTCATTCAAAATTCATTAAAACGCCGGGAAGGAAAAACAGCTGCCTCACGTGAGATCTCAAGACGTCGAAAGCGATCTGAAGCTTACTCGTATGGAGATCAAAATAATAATAATAATAATAATAATAATAATAATAATAATAATAGTGGTAATAACAGTAGAATGTGGGGCAATGATGATCGGGTTGGGCCGTTTCGTCGCCTGCAGTCCATCACAGAAGAGTCAACAGAGGTGGAGCGGGATATGCTGCGCACAGTGCACATCTCACGTCCGGCAGAGTCAGACGTTGAATCCTCTGAAGACGAGTTTAATGCCGAATTGTAATAAAACAGCTCAGTATAATAAGAGTGTATACAATGGGGTGAAAATTTTCTTACCCTTATTCTTTCAGTCACAGACATATACACTCAATTCAGTGTTTGCGTCTCTGAAAAGGGGAGAGAAAGAAAGAAAGAAAGAAAGAAAGAAAATTTCACAGAGACATCTTCTGTCATAGGAGAATGTCATGCAAGTGTTTCTGTTATCTCTTTGATTTCTCCTTCACTGGAAGTATGGCGCAGTTGTGCTACTAATGTTAGGTTTGTGTAGACCACAGTATAAATGCATTGATTTCAGCGACCGCAAAGAGTACTGTTAGGGTTCATACCACCCTCATCGCTGCATATGTCGTGAAGAGTACTAGAATAGCGAATAGTGCAACAACAATGTGGGGGTATCGATGTTTATAAGATCAAAGGGAACTCCTGATAGCTCATCCCTGAGAAACCACTTGAATTGGTTGACAATGGTACTTCGTTGAAGTAATACAAAAAAAAAAAAAGAACTGGGACAAATGTGAAAAGAATGAAAGGAACAGAAAGAGAAAACAGAGGAAGCAATAATAAAGTGAAATCAGAGTTCAAAACAGGATAATTTGGTTGTTTGTCGCCATGTCAGAATTGATGGAGCGCCGTTTCGTATATTTTATGAATGAATGGTAGTTTGAGAATTAACTCTCTTGAATGGAACAACCGACATGTGAATCCTATTACAGTTGGTGCCTTTTTATTTATTTATTTGTTTATTTTACTCTTTTTGTTCCTTTTTTTGATGGG